CGCTCGAAATGAAATTTCTGCACAAATGCACGTGTTTAAATGAAAGAGCCTGATACAAGAAAAATTGGCTTGATTTTTAGCTTGACTGAATGAATAAAAACCAATGTGCGCTGAGCACATGTTTCTGCATACAGATGAGAAACTAAATACGGTTCGCTCTGATGTTGAAGACGGGTCGTCTTGCGATGCCTGAGGGCCAAATCAGACCTGGATGATGTGCTTGTACTTCGACGTTGCTCAGACGTTCCTGTCGGATTGATTCTGAGATATGAAACTGGGCACGTGGCCTTGCTGATATGTGGTGGCCATTTTGCTTTAGGGTGTTGAACGCTGTGGTTCACATGGATCTTTTGCCTCTGAATATGATGAGTTTTCGTGCAATGAAATAAAAGGCTTCTGATGGGTTTCGCCTTTGATCAGCTCCTTTAACCATTCAGATTCCCTTCGTATTACCATAGTCTTGCAAGAAAGAAATGATGAAAGTTGAATCTGGCTTCCTCTCTCGGTTTGACGCAACTGTGTTTGATATCTTCGAAGGCCAAACTTTGTCATCCGTATGGCCTGTAAATGAGGATAACAAGATGATTATAAGCGAGAGGACCGACAGATACTCAAGGACTTGGTACTGTAGTTTATGCGCATGGAGTGAGGAGACGGATGAAAGGTCTGTCCCCACGTGACGGCGAGTGCCTGGGGAAGATAAGCGTGAGACGTTCTCGGCCTGAAGGAACACACTGGTCGCGAAGAGACACGGGACAGAGGAACACGCAGGTGTAGCCCCATTCATTAGCGCCGCATGGAACATCGTGTACTCTTTTGAGGGCTCATGCCTAAGGGATTGAAGATCAATATGGTTTGCTTCATTGAGACAGCTAGTTTGTACAAAAGCAAAGCATATTATGAACCCACACAAGTGAGATCCATGCCTAATGCAGGGGACTCCAAAAAAATATATATATATATTTGCATTGCATTAATAAATATGTGATTTTTTTTTTCCCCCTCAAACTTTTACGCTCAGACAGCAGAAGAAAAGGAATTTCAGATGGGTTACTTTCTACTTTAAAAGGACACTTCCATTGCATTTCTCTCGGTCACGTTTGTGATACGTACTGCTTCTCGTCACATGTGCTCCCAAACAATGTCTTCACTGTTTCTTCAACACCTCTCTGTTGAATAAGATCGGGGTCGCGGCCCAGACGAGCAGCAACAAAGACTCAAATCTTTAATTTATGAAGCGCAAATAATTCATGCATGCAATCTGTGAAGAGTCCACCTTGAATTCTTGTGTTTTGTGTTTATTGGGATGTAAATAAACTGCTACACTCAGGACTGTCTGTGTTTACCACTGCCTTCACATGTGCCGTTTGTTCCTCATTGTTCTCAGCAGTTTTCCTTTGTAACCCGCGTACAGGCTTTTGACAGCGTATCTCTTTGGACGGCTTAAACAAGCTGCGGTTCTGATGTTGCTTTTGTGTCACGCCTGGGCTCCTTCCAGGTGTGTTATTGTGCTATTGATCCTTGTAGAGTTTCACCACGCTCATGCTGTATCCCAAACCACATTGATTTGTAGGACTGCTCATGTATAAGTAGGTTGAAACCTTATTGGATTTGTTGGTGCTGAAATCACAAATCTTGACAGCAGTGAAAATGGGGAAGGGGGTGTTTGAAGCTTCGAGCTAGTCTTTTGCGCCGTCGGTCAAAAGATCAATATTATATATTCACGAAAGAGGACAGCTTTGTTCAGATGGAGGTTTAATTTGCTGCTTTTTCAGTGTTTCCCATTCTTTTTGATCTGAGCATGGTCGTAAAGTATAGTAAACAACAAAGTGATTAGCCTTGTTCTTAGGGACTATGGGCCCTATCTTGCACCCGACGCAAATGACTTTGTACACTGACGCATGTATCATTCCTATTTTGCATCTGCGCAAAGCAGGCTTTTCCCTCCAAAGACACATCGGGTAAACTAGGGAATGAACTTGCGCTCCCTGGGCGGGTCGGCAGAAAAAAAGGGCGTGTTTTGGCGCAAACAATCCCTAATGCCATTCTGCAGTTCCAGAAAACAACTCCGCCACTGTCCAGAAAAAAACTAGTCTAAAGTCAGTGGCGCATTTCGCATTGTTCATAATGCTATTTTAAGCGTGCATGCTTGGCCATAATGTAGCGGGGGCACAACGCGCATACACTTTGATTCTCTCATCAACACAGATGCAGCAGTTTTTATTTTTGCAAATCATACATTATAACAAGGAAACAAATTAACACATGAGGGAAATCATTGTGGTGTCCATGAAGATGTAAAAGAATGTAGGCCTAAATCTAGCTTACACATTTACCCATTTATTTTTTTCAGGCTAATTGCTGTTTGTCCAATAATGGCAAGATACATATGTACATACTGTAAGGACATCTGACAAATTAGTTTGTCCGTCAAGAACCAGGAAAAAATCTCCAATCCCCATACAACGTCAATTCTCTGTCTTTCGCTACCCTGACAATAACGTCGGTCTCCTCGGCTGTAAACGCGCCTGGTAAACCCGCTGTTATAATAACAATCCGCCATGCAACATGCACACCTGTCTTAAAGAGTATGTTGGATGACGCTCTGATTGGTTTATTTCACGTTACGCCTAAAACACTTCTATGAATAATGAAGCTATTTCAGACCAACCCCTTTTAAAATTGCGTCGGGCGCAAGAGTCATTTATCCCGCCGGTAAAATAGCAACAGCGCCCAAGACCCGCCCACAAATTTACTTGCGTTTCAAATCGTTAAAATAGGGCCCTATGTGTTTGTGTCATTTCTTTTCTGCCAGTGGTCTAGAAGAGCATTTTGAGATCTATCAAAAAAACAAGAGAGCTTCTCCATGCACTGCTTCCACATCGTTTTTAATTAGGACCTTTACTTTTGTTATCTTTTGTTAAATGAAACCACAAAGCATTGATTTGACTGTACTCAAGAGTCTCGATAGTTACCTTCAAGTGTCTGTGCCATTCTACCACATGCTAGCTATAAACATCTTTATGAGATCTTCAAATGTTTGCTTTGCTTTATAAAAGACATTTACTGAACAGACATTTTTGAACGCAACAATGAATTAAATCAATTTATTGTTGCTGGAATGAAGTTTGTGTACAGTGTAGAGCTTAAATATGTTTTTTTTATTAAAAACATTCAAAAAGAGCAATTTCTAAGCAATGAAATGTTTTAGAGATGAGTATAACTAAAAAATGCAGACTGAATTCTACTCTTTTGATTACACGGATGAAAGTTTTCTCCCAAACTTTGAAAAGTAGTGGAATAACTGATGGCGTCTGTTTCCTGGAGACCATCAACTGAAGGTTCAACATTTGCATAGTAAAGGATAAATTTATAATTCTGTTGAACATGCCAATATAGAGCATTGCGCAGGGGCTGTAAGCTTAATTGATGCAGTAAAAAATGCGCATAAAAGTCTTTATTGCACATTTAAAAGGTGTTCCCAACAAAACTCCATGGTGCAGAGTGTTCAGTTGGCGGCTCACGGCTTTATTCGGTCTCCTAAAGGGCCCCGAGCGCTTCTGAGATGGCCTGACAGCCTTGTGTAGCCCACGCCAGAATCAATACAACAAAGGTCATTTGCTATTCCAGTCATAGGCAGCTCCATTCCCACCGAACTGTATTTGATGCATACCAAAGATGCGCACAATGACCTCGCTCCTCTGTCATTATGCGAGCAAGATGGAGCATCTATTCAGCGGAGAATAATGTCATTTAGTCATGTCGACTTGAACACCAAAGCGAGGTAGTTTATGTGTGTGTAAGCTAATGCTGTCACTGTTTCCAGCATGATAAGTGAATTTTCTTTCTGTTTCTTGTAAAGGACGTGCTGTGCGACATGTGGCACCCTGCTGAGATATGTCATGTTTTCGCATGTTATGTTCGCTAAGAAGTTGCTACATCACGGTTCCCTCCTAAACTTAGCTCACTCTGTGGGGAGCAGGTGTGTACAAGTCTGAGCTACTCTGACGACTTCTTCCACATGAACAGCCGATTCGCTTAGACATGATACTGATGTCAGGCGTCCAATGAAAAAGTAAAGCCGGCTGGAAAGCGGCGGGAAGGCGAGGCTCTCGCCATCTGTGCGAGTGACCTGCCAAACACAGGCTCATCATCATCATCATCACTCAAAGAGCCTTGTGAAGGCACCTGACCACTCATTTGTCCATCTGCCAGTGTTGGACTGCCCTGGTTCTGGCACTGCCCGATTGGCCCACTGAGATGCGCATCGTTTTAGTCAATCAACCGAGCAACGGCGAAATGGAGGATGGTCGCTTGACTTGTTCAGGGCGTGGAGGTCAGAATTCATCTAAACTTGTGGATATTTAACAGTGGCATAGCCTTTACTGTTGGTTTAAACATTCCCTTTCAGTGTTTTCATGGTTATATGGCTGTTCGCTAAAAGATGCATGCTCCAGCATCTAGATATTGAGTTATTTTTGCACTGAATTAAGTAATGGATCGCTAAATTACTTACATGGTCCATGCCGGGATGTATAATTATCTAGCGTGGCTATTGATTACAGGGCTAATTTAGCATGACATATTGCATGAAATATAGCTCGATTCAATTGATTACCCTCACTACCTTGTTCAATTCTATTTAGGTACAAAGCAGAAGCGGCACCGGGTTGTTTTGCTAACGGCTAGCCTCAACAAATAATTCCCTTAGGGAAGAAAAATAATGTAGTGCTTGTTCAAAATACGATTTCGATTGATTAGCTGCCGTCCCAGCAGGATAGGGTTGATATTCTTTCAAAATCCTCATGTTTTGGTGCACTGGGAGGATTATCCCGGGCTCACGGAGGGTCTGAGGTCAGCACTGTAATAGGTTTATGCACAAGCTTCTAGCAAGGATCATTAAGTAAGAACATTCACAATGTGCTGTGGAAAGTCTGCATCTTTGTCATCCTCTGGAGGTTTAATTTGTGTAATCTATCATTCTCTTCCCTCTCTCCTAGTGTGTGTTTGACCCCAGCATTGGGGGAATCGTGGAGAGCGGATACAGAGGCATGGGTGGAGTCGTCAGTATGCAGATGGATGTGATTTACTGCTTTATCATGATGCAAATAAAAGGTATGTTTGATCTATTAGTGGGAATTCAGAAGGAATCAGGTTGCACGCATGCACTCGATACTGTCAGGGAAGCACACTCGGTCATCCCTGCATCTGCCGTTTAGATTGTGATGAAGACGCTATTACTGCCGCTGGTGCAGAGAAAACAAGACAAGGTATTTTATGCTGTCAAATGAGGCGTGCAATGGTTGCAATGGTTGAAAATGATTGAAGCTGATCAAACTCTATTGTTTGCCGTTTCCATTCCTAATTCCATTACTTTTTTTCTGACTCACCTGGTTTGGGTTCTGAATCGATCCAAAATGCAAAAAACAAATCCAAAATGTCTCACAGGTCCGTCTAACAGAGGCTAATTTGGTTTTCTGCTTGCTACAAGTAACACAGTCTCATCCCAAAAAGTCATATAACTGACGTCTTGGGACGTCTTTTGACCATACGTCAATATCTGCCTTTTTAGGGTCCCCTTAAACGTCGGTAGATGGCGATCCCGGGCCGTCATACAACTGACGCTTTACCTTTAACGTCAGTTAGGTGACGGGTTAGGTTTAGGGTTAGGTTTAGGTCTGGGGTAGAGTTAGGATCCCATAACCTCATCTACCGACGTTTAACGGGGCCCTAAAAAGGCGAATATTGACGTATGGTCAAAAGACGTCCCAAAACGTCAGTTATATGACGTCTTGGGATGAGACCGGGTTGCTACAAGAGATGCACTTAAAAAAGGAGACTTCTTGTGAATTCTTGATTTAGGAATATTATACAAAAGACGATTTTTCAAAGCACTTTCAGGCACATGTTTTTACAAGCACCATGGTATCATGGTATTCTATGTATCTAAGTATCCTGCAAATAACATCCTGTACAAGAATAATGGTACAGTGATGCTAATATAAGGGGGTGGGTTTAAAGGAGTAGTTCACTTTTCAAAAAACTTTTGCTGATAATTTACTCACCCCCATGTCATCCAAGATGTCCATGCCATTCTTTCCTCAGTTGAAAAGAAATTAAGATTTTTGATGAAAACAGTCCAGGATTTTTCTCCATATAATGGACTTCAATGGGAACCAAACTATTCAAAGGGCTTTAAACGATTCCAGACGATGAAGAAGGGTCTTATCAAGCGAAACAATCCCTCATTAAATAAATAAATAACAAAGTTTAAGTTTTATAAGCTCAAATGCTCGCCTTGCTCTGTTCTGTGATGCACTCGTGACTCTCCTGTTCGAACTCGTTCATCAAAATGAACAAATCTTTTTTCAAGTCATTTGGTTCATTCAACAAACGACTCGGGAAAAGATTTGTTCATTTTGATGAACGAGTTCGAACAGGAGAGTCACGAACGCGCATCACAGAACAGAGCAAGGTGAGCATTTGAGCTTATAAAACTTAAACTTTGTTATTTATTTATTAAATGAGAGATCGTTTCGCTTGATAAGACCCTTCTTCATCATCTGGAATCATTTAAAGCCCTTTGAACAGTTTGCAGTTTGTACTGAAAGTGTCTTTTGGACCTTGAACCGTTTGCTTCCCAAACTTCCCATTGAAGTCCATTATATGGAGAAAAATCCTGGAATGTTTTCATCAAAAACCTTAATTTCTTTTCGACTGAAGAAAGAATGGCATGGACATCTGGGATGACATGGGGGTGAGTAAATTATCAGCAAAAGTCTTTTTAAAAGTGAACTACTCCTTTGAGCAAAGTAAAGGTACCATGTTTTTTTCTGACATAGTACCACGTTTTTTAAACCAGTCACACAATGTGTTCTTGGAAGTATTTTGGAGTTCTACGTACACTCTTAAAAAATACTGGGTTGTTTTAACCCATCTTTGGGTCAAATATGGACAAACTCAGCCATTAGGTGACATTTTTAACCCGACATTTGGGTTTGTCCATATTTGACCCAAATTTGAGGGGTAAAACAACCCAGCATTTTTTAGAGTGCAATGCAACAATATTTCTGCTACTCTTTGATATATCAAAGTGCCATGGTAATGCTTTCAGAAGAAGTGCTTTTGCTCACTTCTGTCAGCACTCAAACTGATTTGTTTCAAATTTCGGTCATTGTCTATTTTGGTACGCTTTTGTTTGCTTCATACGCTTTCGTGAACTTTGCATTTGTCTGCAGCATTCTGTTTTGATGACGGAGCCAATTTCCACTCAAGGCCGTCAATTTTTCTGCATGGCTCACATAAAGGCCCACAAAAATACGGCGCTGGCTTTGTTCTGCTGTGAAAGCACAGTGTCCAGTGACATCACTCCAGATCGCTGGGATTGGGTTTGAAGTCCTTCAGCGCTCCAGTGGCTTTAGGCTTGCTGCTGCATCATGGTATTCAAAGCGGGTGCGTCTCTACGGCTTGAACTCTGGTCGCAAGTCATAGATCTGATCTGTTAGTCATTGCATCAGCATCATAGAATATGTCTGAGTAGAAAAAGTAGGCCAGCTCCTTTTAAAATAGGAGACATGGAGCTGTAAGAGATTGCACTCAGAGAGTGCGTCGATATGATGTATTTCTGTTCATTTTGAAAAATGACCCTGTGGCGATATCTTTACGTTACTGTAGCAGTCGGTTTGAACGAGGAAGATTCAAGAACAGCAGCTCCTGACAGCGTCTCCACAGAGCGAGAGGCTTTGGCTTTAGAGACGGCCATGTTCCCGATTGATTCCTCTCATTAGCTGCATGGATACACTCTCACGCATTCCAGTTGGCCCTGCATGTCTCACTTCCGGTTAACCCATGCTGAAGGTTGAGTTGGACACACTTCTTCTATCTCTGTGGCTATAGCTGTGAAATGGCATATATTAACATGCCCCCACATAGGCTAGACAGCAGTCAGCTCAGGTCTGGTATTAATGATGGTGCTGGCTTAAGCACCCGGATCCATGTGTGATGAACCGGGCCTGCTTCGGATCTCGCTAATGGCCTGTAAGACTTCAGAGGGAGTTGGACAGGTCTCATTATCACCAATGTTCTTCCAGAGGTAAAGCGCCTAGTAGACAACAGGCCTCTCCCTCAGTGTAACGAATCTTGAATCTTGCAGCCATTGGTTTTTTTTTCATCTAATGGGGCTGTTTTGAAAGATTGATGAGTATGAATGGGTGTTTTAAGAGAATTTGTTTGCTAGATTTTTACAAGATTGAATTCCAGATTTGGCAGTGCATATTTTTTTAGGTATCTTGTAGAGTTACTCAATTAGTATGACAGATCGTTTCATAATCGTAGATTAACAAGTGGCGCAGACTGTCACCAGTTAGAGCTGCTAACAACCAGCATGCCTCATCGCAACTGCAAAATAACATAAATAGATAATTAATGCTGAAAGCAATTATTATCAATATGAAGTATATTTTTGCAGCGTCGCTGTAATTTGGGAGATTCGTTTTATATGGGAGGAATGGAAGCAGCTTGAAAGGCGAGAGAGGAAAAAACGAGTAAGGGAGAAATCAACAAAGTATAATGAACATCAAATACTTTTTTTTCTGCAGCGCAGGCAATTGTTATTGTGGTTCTCAAGGAAGCGTGTAATGAACTAAGGGAATATGGCATCTCTAATATTCGGATGTGCCACAAGGAGCAGGACTATGTGGAATGCACAAGTTTTAAAGATGGAAATGAAATGTATTAAAGCTAAAAAAAAAAATCTTTTTAAAGGAATTGTGTTCACCGTTTTCACATATCAAGATGTCACTCAGAATGGTTACAAACTTTAATATCATCTGCGGCTTCTACATACATTTCAATGTAACTTTATCATGACTATCAGCATTGTGGTGTTCATGGACTGTAGGAATTTCATCTTAACCAAATTAGTAATTTTATGGATCACAAACTTTTAACACTTAACACTTGATTTGTTCTTTATATCTCTGATAACAAGGTTATAGTGTAATTGAGTGATTCCCAACCAGGGACACGTGTTCCTCAGGGGGTACTTTGCTGCTTTAAACCTATAAAACAATCAAAAAAAGTGTTGGGAGGTGTGTGTGTGTGTGTGTGTGTGGAGAGAGAGAGAGAAAGAGGCTGTAGAAAAGTAGATTTCAGCAACATATTTACTTTCTCAACAAGCTTTATATTAGCATTATATTATATTATATTTATATTAGCTTTATATTAAAAATATTGTTTGTTTAACTTAAAAATGAAGTAACCTGGTTGCCTTAAAATTTTAAGTTCATTGAACTGGAAAAATTGAGTTAATACAATGAAGGAGATTGATTTAAGTATCAGAATCTCAAAATAGTATCTGATCTACATAAATTATTTAAGTTGATTTGACAAAATAAAAAATGTTGTGATTACAAATCAAGAAAATATATTTTTTTTACAGTGTAGAAATAGCTTTTTCAGATTTTAGTTTGTTTTGTGCTTTTGTAATTTTTTTTACATTTGTTTTGGTCAAGTTTTCACTTCAATAATTATATTTTACTTCAGCCTAATTTAAATGAACAAAATTTAGGTCAACAACACTCCCCAGTTGGAGAATAACAGATTCTATTATTTCTTAAACTGGTTCAGTTTGAAAGGGAGATTCCGTTGTACTGGTTATTTTATAGTTTAAATTTCTTTACTAAAGCATGCAATGTTTTTTTTTCCTCCCATATCAATCAGTTTAATTGCAAAGCATTTTTCCTGAGAACAGAAGACCCTATCCACTGTAAAAAAAATATCTGTCTGTAAGTCTGTAAAATCAATAACGATGCTACCGTATTTTTGACCGTAAAGTTTTTTTTTTTTTTTACCATAAAAATTACGGTTTTCTTTTTTACAGTGTATTATGTATTATATATTATAATACTGTCTGAGTGTTTAGACACTATAGTGTCGTTTAGATTAATTAATTCTATGCAAGTATTTGGCATAAATTTATAACTTGCCCTCATAAAAGTAAAATTTGTCCCTGAAAGTCAATTCCATGGAGGCAAATATCAATCCTTAATAAAGAATTTAATTTCTGACGCTACCTGTGACCCTGTTTATGTCGGTTCTGTCCAGCTGGATGTCTT